ATCCAGCATTAACAAAGCCCAGACAAGATCATTCACAGGCGCCTAAATCGGCAGTGATCAGGACCTTGTGGTGCCAACCTTCAAGCTGAAGCTGAAAGTGAAGCGTGGTCTCTGGAACCCACGCATCCGCTTCGACCTTGAGAAACTGAAAGACCCGAAGATTGCAAAGTGACAGTCAAGGCGCTGACCACACTCTGCCAGAAGATCTGAGAGGAGAAGTGACCCATGGAGTCATCCCAGTCCCTAGTTATCCCCTACCAAAGAAGGGCAACCTCAGGCAGTGCCAAAACTACCGCACCATTAGCCTCATCAGCCACCCCAGCAAGGTGATGCTTGGCGTCATCCTCAATCGGTTGAAGGCGAAGGCAGAGGAGGTACTGTCTGAGAAGCAGGCAGGGTTCAAAGCCGGCCAAAGCACAATGGAACAGATCTTCAACTGCAGAGCAACTACAGAGAAGCACCTACGACACCAGCGCGAACTGTTCCACAACTTCATAGACTTCAAGAAGACCTTTGATAGAGTCTGGCACAAAGGTCTATGGAGTGAACTCCGAGGCTTCAACGTTGAAGAAGGCCTCGTCCAGGCCATCTAATCCCTGTACCAACACTCCAGCAGCGCAGTTCTCCTGAACAACGAGCTCCGTGAGTTTTTCCAGACAACAGTTGGCGTTAGGCAGGGCTGCTTGCTCTTGCTGGTTCTCTTCAACCTCTACCTGGAGAGAATCATGCTGAACACTATACGCGACTATTACACCTCCATCTCCATTGGTGGAAGACCAGTCTGCCTCCTCCGCTTCACAGATGACATTGACCTCATGGGTGGCTCCAACCAAGAGCTCCAAGACCTGACGAACAACTTGGTCAGATGCGCTAGCTCATACGGCATGGAGGTGAACAGGTAGAAGTCGAAGGTCATGGTGAACTCCTTAAACAACACTAGTGCTTACATCACCATGAACGGCAAGCCTCTGGAGGAAGTTACATTGTTCAAATATCTGGGAGCTACACTATCCAAAGATGGCTCCTGCATGGCAGAAATCCAGATCCGAATCGGCCAGGCTCAACAGGGCGTGGAGGAGTAACATCGGCTTCCCAACCAAGTTCAGGCTCTACAAGGCACTCGTGCTCTTCTTTCTGCTATATGGGTGCGAGGCATGGACCCTCCTGGCAGGCACTGAGAAGATCATTCATGCATTGAAACCAAATGCCTGAGGAGACTCCTACGCCTCTCCTACTTGGAGCACAAGACACACGAGTACGTCAGGGACAAAGTCAAGAGCCTGATGGGCCCCCAGGAACCACTCCTTGCCACTGTGAAGCGACGGAAACTTCTCTGGTACGGTCACATCATACAACATGACAGTCTCTATAAAACAATCATGCAAGGCACCGTTGAGGGCGGGCAGAAGCGAGGCCAACAACGAAAGAGCTGGTCAGACAATGTCAAGGAGTGGACCAATATGCCTCTACAGGACACCTTGACCCAGGCTGCTGACAGACCAGTGTGGAGAAAAACTTAAGTATCATCTGCCCTCAGTCCCCCCTACGACATAAGAGTCATGAAAATGAATGAATGAAGGCGATAGGTTTGAGGTTGAGCGTGTGTGGGCTTTGTTCTTAGGTGCGAGTGCATTGGTGCTTTCTTGGTTGAACCTAAAAAGATGAGTAAGTCCCCATTGACTTAATTTTAAAAGACGAAAGACCCCATAAGGTTTTATGGAGTCTTATAAACTTGTTTTATTCCTGCGTTAGCGAAACCACAAAAGAAAAGCGAGACCAATAGCAATCACCCCAATAGTTAAATTATAATTTTCTTCATTGTAAATATCTGAAGGCATTAAAGCAGGTTGCGTCGGGGCTGTTGTAGGAGCAGGGGCTGTGGTAGGGGTTGGGTCTGTGATAGAGGCTGGGGCTGTGTTTAGAGAATCAAAATTACTATCAGTTTCTGGCTCAGGGACGCTTTGCGAGGTTAGCCTCGGTTGATGCCCATTTGCATGCTAGATGTCACAATTTGTAAGTTGTTGTATCTCTCAAACGTCCCAATTCTGAGATCCATGTCCGAAGGACACAAAGTTCAAAGGAGTTTGGCATACTGGCATACATAGGTAATCTTGAAACTGGTTAATGTTCTGTTCGAGATCGGGTTCTGAGTTAATGAGGAACTCCATGATATTCACAAACTGCTGTTGAGCGTCTAACCCCGTACTTGGAGCCATCACGCTGGTTTTTGTTTCCGCTTGCGCTCCTAACAAAGCGTACACGTAAGCCCTTGTGATTTCGTTGACCATTGTGACCCCTATGTCGGTGAGGTTAGACTTGCGTGGTATAACATCCCACTAGGCCGTCTTGACAGCCTCAGACTGGTTGATCCAAGACACCACATAGGCACTCAGGTGGTCAGTTCCAAACCCCATAATGTTATTAAACCATTTGTTGTGTGTAAGTCACACGCGTTTTAGTTTTTCCCTGGGACCAGTTTCAATTGTTGACCTTTATAAGTATTATTGTCGTTTTTTCAGATATGGCTGCACATCTTCTAAATACCGCAATTGCATTGGGGTCGTCAAAAGCAAAAGCACCCCCTCTTCTGTCGTCATTGTAAAAAGCTGTTCCGAGTCCGTTCGACAAGGTATCTGGTGTTTGTTTAAAAGACTCGATCGAGTCAACATTAAAAAGGCGACAGGTGTCAACGAATGCTCTGTTGTCGAAGTGGCGTTGTTCAACAAACTCCACAGAAATCGATTGGCAAACTCATATGGATGACAGACCGGCAGAAAGGGGGCGTGAAGCTGCACCGGCAGAAACAAGATTCGAAGGGCGTAGATCGGGTTCCGCCCCTGGTTTCCTCGATATTATTTTAGAATCGATTGTATTTAAAGTGCCGAGATCAGAATTAGAGGGACACAGTTTGGTCTTGTTTTACAACGTAATTAGCAATTATATTCACGCTTACGAGGCAGGAAATCTAGACGAATTTAGCGATAATATTAGTCAAAACTAAAAAAATCAACAGACAAGAAGACAGTTTTTGACAATAAATTGGGGGAAGGAGGACTTTATCAGCAACAAACAAACTCGATTTATTTCGTGTCAAATTTAGTGACAGAAAAAACTGATATTATTACAGAGGCATGCCGCATTGCACCGAGGTTTATTTGAGAAGGATTTTTAGAAGACAGTGCCAACGAAAGAACGAGAATAATTAGAAGCGCTCAATCAGAACTCACAGGTGCGCTTTTAGTTATGGGTTTTAGTAGTTTTAGTCTTGCAACGTCTCCACGGGGGGGAGACATCAGGGCATTTTTTACTGCCTGGATAGCGTGGTAGTATGGTTATTCCTCCGGGATTTTACGACGTTGATAGGTTCGAATTTAGTTATTTTATGGTAACATACTTAGGCCTAAATGTTAGATTGCAGTTGGATAAAGAAGTCTCGAAACTGCTCAATTTACCTAAAGAAAGACTAGTAAGTAAACGTAAATCCTTTCGATGAGCTTTGGATACACTGCCGCAAGTTAAACACCAGCGATAATTGTTAAAACGGTCTACCTTCAGACCCGTTTAAATTGTGCGTCAGTTAGGCGGTGTGATTGTTGTGAGACTCGTTCTTTGCTGGTTGACGGTAAATCAAGGGACTGTATGTCCAGTGATAGGAGAACTGAATCGTCGTCACTGGACGTATCTGGGGCCTGTTGTCTGCAGGGGATGTCCGAGTCGGAGCTGGGTAAAGCTGAAGGTGGAACTCGGCAGCTGGCCTTGATCTCGTTCTTGCTTGGAGATTGGTTAAGCTTAGACATGTTGTCTTAATGAATAATCAGAAAGAAACCTTTAAAACAACTATGAGTTTGAACCACCCTGAAACAAAGAATACCATAAGGCTTTACCCCGATCTGCCGGAACCGGCTGGGCAAACAAGAGAAGAGAGAGTTTATTGATGGAAGGTCTCTTCATCGGTGCGTTTGGTTCATACGCTTTGTTGAAATATGCCAGTAAACGACTGCTTCACAAGTCTAGAAACACGACCAAATCAGAGTGCTAGCCGACGCTAAACTGAACACAATTGACGAATATATATACCAGGCCATTAACGACAGTGATATTTCTCACGAAGAGTTTGTGCTAATTGCCTCTGGGCTCCAGAAGTTAAGCAAGCTCATTGAGAAAATTAGATCGCTGGTAAATATAAAACTTAATACAAAACTCCAGAGGGATTAAAATGACCAAGAAATCAAAGAGCGAGCCCAAAAAGTAGCAGAAAGTACGGCCAGTGAAAATGTTCGACAAGGAAAAAATGAGTTGATGGTAAGCAGCCAGGTAGCCCACAGGCGCAGAGGTTGGTCGTTCAATGCTATAAAACAGTTGACAGGTTTGTCATCAGTACAAAATCAACCTAGAAGACCACCTCCAGAATATGATGTGAGTCAAGAACAGGGGCTTGGTAATTTAGACGCTGCTGCTAGCGCGAGTTACTGAAATCCCCCGTTTGCCGTTTGTGAAACGGAGGATTTTTGTTTGGTTGCAAACGAGTCGGGTAGTTAACTCGGGTAGCTACGTCGGGTAACTATACGTCAGGTAGCTACCCATGGGGTTCACAGAGATCCCCACGAGCGTCAGATTGTCTCGTTAGAGCATGAGCTTGCTGGTTTGCAACAATCATAGCGAGTGTAGCAAGAGAGTCGGGAGTTGTGAGGGCGGAATCCAAAAACAACCCACACTATTTTGGGGGGAGGGGGGCGGGTAGGTACCCACGAGGAGAAGTTGAGTAGGTATCCAACTGTTTTTGTGTCCAGCATACCCATACTATATATACTACTTTGCGATTATTTCAAGTTAACCAACTTTTAAAGGTCATTAAGCTTCAAGAACAAGAAAACGGAGGAAGTTATTTCCATGGAACAAGCGATTTTAAGGCTTCCCCCCAGAAAAACAACAATAAAACAAAAACAAATAACAAAGAACTAGATTGAAGACAAACTAATTTCATTTTCCAACTTTTATAGCTTGGTTGGATGTATTTTCACCCTTCCGCGGTACATCTATTCTATGGCTTCCGACGGTCTTCTCTTTGGTTGCTTAGCCACTGTGAATAAGCGATTCAACATGCCCGTCAATGCTTGCATCTTTTGTGGTGCTGTAGCAGGTGAGTGCAGAACCGCAAGCATAACTACTGGGTAAACTTGTTAGTATTTCAACTCAGTACGGGATCAAAGCAAGAACCACTCAAGGTGCTGTGCTTACCGTATCAAGAGGAATAGGCCGTTACTGATCAAACAGGCAGTGTGAATTAATGTTCTTTTATGTATAGTTTTTAAAATGTATCCTGGAAGTCGTTAAGGTAGTAGTAGGGATATGCCGGTAATGGACCATCTCTCTAAAACTCCACTAGCGCCCGTGGCACACCCTCAATAACAACAAAGAACCCGGGGCCCAGGGGCGCGCCCTCAATACTGACCTGCCGGTTCTGTGTTGTGCCTCTAAAACTCGCTGAGCTGTGCGCCCGGGGCACGCCCACAATACCAACAAAGAACCCAAGCCACACCAACGCAGGAGACTAAAGCTGGTAGCACGGCTAAGCGACTGAACCACCTGGAGAAGAGTCTACCCTAGCTGACATGAATCATTGTTCAAAGCTGCACTGGGTTCAACGGAGTGCTTCCTTTTTTAAGCGAGGTCGGTCTACTGCCACGAGTTACCTCCGATTCTATTCCAGTTTGCAGTGACTCAGTGCCACGTTTGTTATTGCTTTACTAAATATCCTGGTGGAATTTTCCATTGTAGCAATATCGTTCGCTGACATACCTAAATCATTTTGACGTTGGCCATCGTTGTGTGCGGCTATATACATGTAGGTGTAAGCGACGGAGGAGGCTTCGGAGTTGACAACTTAAATGTAAGTACGGGTAACCGGGGAAGTAAAACATTCTATCGTTGGACGGCCTGGTTTCACAAAACCAAGTTGCAGTGCAACTAAGTTTGGTTCATGCTTAGGTTTTGGAGTAAATACCTTTACCAAAGTAATTTCCAAACTGTTTTTTATTTTTTTAACAGAAAACGACCCACTGATGCGGAAACAGAGAGGAATGACTTTGCCTGTTTAAACGAGAACTGAGCGTACAGATAAACAGAACAAGAATTCAGCTTTTGAATATTTATGTATTTTATGTGTCACTAGGAACCCCGGTTGGCAGTTTGTAATTGAGTTGCTTGTGTCACTAGCAAGTCTTAGGATTTTTTTTTATTAAAAATAGCGAGTTATACTGCCAGAACAATTTTCTTTTTTTGGTTTGATTGAGAGAGTTGTAAACTGAAATTTATTCATTTATGCAAGCATCAAGCTATAGGAACTCTCAAAGTGTAGACTTGTGCAAAGTTACGGGAGGTATTTCACCTTTCACCGCCATTTCGGGTTCACGGCTTAAAACATATCCCCGCACTACAGTAAATAACGGATTTTTTTTAATAAATTAAATGTACTATTTCATTAAGATAATAACCCGATATTACCTCCCTCGACAAGTAGATTTTTTTAAATGTCTTTAAAAAAGAACCGCTCTTTTGATAGAGCGTGCTGTTCCTGTTAAAAGTAGATAGAGCGCTGTTACTTTTTTAAAAACTATACATGTATAGTAAAAGAAAGATGGCAGACCCGATAGAAACACATTAATTGTACTTGACTAAAACACGAGGAAACATGATCAAATCAGAGTGTTGGCAGAAGCCAAACTCAACACGATAGAAAAATACGTGTCTCGCGCTATTGAAGACGGAGGCTTGTCGCACGAGGAATTTCTGCTCGTGACGTCTAAGCTCATAAATTTCTTACGATGAAAGAAGACTAACAAGGAAAAAAACCGCGATCCAACACAGCAAAGCGCCTTTACGTCTTTGGTAGAGTCGTCTTTATCCAGGTGTTTTTTAACTCGCCCTACGCCACGACAGCACACAATCGATATTGAAACTTGGGTTTGGTTTCAGGGCTTTACGTAGTAGTTTCGGGTTTTGCGCTTAAAATCGATTTGATGTCGTCATTTTATTTATACAGTTTTTAATTGGGTTAAATGCTAGTTTGACACGTAGGTACTCGTAGGTGAGGTACGATAGGTTGAGTGCTGTAACTAATTATAACTAGCTCTACGTTTTGCAGCATTGCTGCCATTTCACTTATAACAAAACTACAAGTTTGCTGAAATCGTTTGTTACAGCTACTGTTATCAAAACCTTCAGCAACAGTCAACAATAGTGATAGCTAGTTCACTTTTAGCTGTTCAGCAGCTAGAGGTTTGTTGTTAACAAGTCTATTTGACTTCTTTTTATAACAGCAATACGACATTGCTCATAAGTAACTTACTAACTCTAACGCTTTTTGATACAAGTCCAAGGCTTCGTTCAACTCAAATTTCTCCAGGTTCAAATTACAAAGATATACGTTCTTACCGGTGTATACCCACAAGCGGTCCAAGTACGTTTTATTTTCGCTTAGCGTTTGACAACATAAATTATGATCGCTTCAAAAACAAACCGATACTCACGTTCTAACAGGTCCAACACCTACTGGGTTCTCCCGACCCCCTCTTGCCAACGATGAGAGCACAATGGATTTTTATACATACTCATGTTTGTTATGGGTTTCATTTTAAACGCGTTTCAAATGTACAAGCTTTAAAACATCAACTTAGGAAAGACTTCACAGACGCGATCAAAGCTTATACTTCACCTGAAACTTCTGTAGAAGTGGACTTTACCCAAGTCGGACAGTTTCAAGGTAACTTTAAACACTGAGAACTACATTCTCGGTTGTTTAACAGAGACCCTGTACAATTATTTTACGCGACCCACGCATCAGAGATAGAAGCACAAGTCGCACCTGAACTGCGCGACCTTAGTAGCAGTAAAGTACAAACTGTCATCAAAATCCGGTTTATCAAAGAAAGACCAGATCAAGGGGGTTTTGTCACAGAAACGTTTACGTTTGAAAGTGAAAATAGATACCGTTGTGTTAACTGAAGAAGACCCAAACAAACGTTAAAAGAACAACGAGAAAGACTTGCAGGAAATCTAAGCCTTTACGCGGGCGATCGGGTTGGATCATCGACGTCATCGTTGCGGTTCACATTAATGTGATGCGATACCAACCTTTAATCAGAAGTTCTTACGTACCTCTACCCAAGTACTTAAAAACAAAACACGCCATCATAAACGTTCAGAGTATAAACTCCACGAAGAAAGAAGACCCTGACCAACTAAAATTCTCTAACGTCATTTTTCCTACCTTAGTGTCTGAAGTCCCTCGTATCGAAACCCAAAACAATTTAGCGATGAACATGTTTGGCTATGGATCCAAAGATGGTGTGCATCCCCTCTACATCTCGAAAAACTGTTTAGACAGAGAGCCCGTAAACTTACTCTTGTTTAGTAAGGACGAAACCAGCCATTACTGTTGGATCAAAGATTTCTGTAGACTTTTTTGAGTGAAGTCGATAACCACAAACACAAGCTTTTTTCTGTTATCGTTGTTTGTCTCATTTTAACCAATGAGACAAACTCGACCAACACAAACAAGACTGCCAAGGACTAGACAGCGCTTCTTCCAAACTAACGCTCTCAAAAGAAGGTGAAAACCTGTTAAAGTTTAAGAACTATAAAAGCAAGCAAGATGCCCCCTTTGTGATCTACGCTGATTGTGAATCTATTTTAGAAAAGGTAGAAGAGCTCCTAAGTCCCTCTCACACAGTTAAAACCCAACAACATGAACCAACTGCTTACTCTTACGCCGTCGTTCGATGTGATGGTGCTTGCATAAGTTCAGAGACCTATAGAGGCCCAGACGCTTCTATAAGATTCATAGAGTCTCTTATCTTAGAAAAAGACAAAATCAACAACTTTTTGCTGACCCAAAACTGATGTCTTGGACTCCAGAAGCACAAATACTATTTTACGAAGCCAACACGTGTTGGATCTGCAAAAAACCTTTTATCCCAAAAAAGATACTGACTGCCAATGTCTTATACCCAAAGAATTCACCACAAAAGCACAGAGAGAAGAGTTTCTTTTAAAAACCGAGGATACACATAGTATCTTTGTATGTATTGTAAAAAAAAATCAACAAGTTTAGAAAGGTCAGAGATCACTGCCACGTGTCAGGTAAGTTCAGAGGCGCTGCCTACGATCGATGCAATCTCAAACTCCAAGTAAGACCCAAACAGACCCCAATACCGGTAGTACTACATAATGTGGAAAACTACGACGCCCACTTGCTCATGCAAGGCGCCTCTGCGTTTAACTTGGGTAACTTGTCTCTGAAAAGTACATTAATAGTTTCTCGTTTAGGCAATTCTGCTTTATCGACTCGTTTCACTTTATGACGACGTCGCTTGACAAGTTATTCAAAGCCTGTTCTAAAAAAGCAACTGTAAAACTTCAGGGGACTACCCCAACCTCTACGCCGCAACAGACACAATGTTACTCGCAGGCGTGTTTGAAAACTTTCGCTGCGTCTGTCGAGCCAACTACGGTCTCGATCCAGCCAACTATTATACAGCACCCGGTCTGTCTTGGGACACTTTGTTGAAACATTCTAGCGTTGAGCTAGAGCTGCTCACAGATGTCAATAGGCACTTGTTTTTTGAAAAAGCTAAACGCGGTGGAATCTCAAGTGTGTGTAGCGCTCGGTACTTTAAAGCCAACTATAAGTAAGTACTATAAATAAGTATTTGCCCGACTACGACAAACAGAAACCCTCTTCGAATGGCTTGTACCTAGACGCTAATAACCTGTACAGATGGGCGATGTTACTACCGTTGCCTTACTGCGGATTCCGCTGGGTTAGGGTTACACGTGTTCTCTCCACAGCATGTGTTGTCACTCTCCTTTAAAACAGACACCGGTTATCTACTCGAAGTGGACCTAAACTACTCCCCAGACCTACATGACTTGCACAACGACTATTCCTGAGCCCCTGAAAACTTTACGATACCCGAGATTTGGTTTTCTAAATACCAAAGAGAATTACTGGGGCCCACCACAGAACCCGGGGCGGGGGGTTTCAGCCGAGCGCAGCCCTGCAGTTGATAAGCTCACTTGCACTTTAAACTCTAAACATGGGTATGTTGTGCAATAATTGACGCTGCAAGTGTTCTTGTGCCTAGGATTCAAGTTACAAAAATACACAGCAGTTTACAGTTTAAGCAAAAGGCTTAGGTAAAACAGTACATTGATAAAACACCAATCTTAGAACTCAAGCTGAATCAGATTTTGAGAAAGACTTTTTCAAGCTAATGAACAACTTGGTTTTTGGTAAGATGATTGAGAACGTGAGCAACCGCATTGACGGTTAAAGAAAATGATAGCCAATTCAAGCATCTGATATCAAAACCCAGCTACAAAACAACCGTGGCTTTCCCTGACTGCCTTTTGTCATTTGTTGAACTATACAGAACTAAAACAACGTTCAACAAGCCGATTTACTGCGGTGTATTTTCGATCAGTCTAAAATGCGCATGTACGCGTTTCATTACAAGCAACTGAAACGCAGCTGGGGCGGCCCCAGCTCAGCGGCCCCCGGCCCAGCCCAAGACCGAGTAAACTTGTTGTATGCAGACATGTATTCTTTGCTCATCGCGATGTACACCAAAGACGTATATACAGAGTTAGAAAAATCTAACACAAGCTAGACTTATCCAACTATCCACCCGAGCACCACTTTTTGTCCAAAACAAAAAATCAAAGGTAAATTTAAAGACGAGTTTGGTGGTAAGGTCATTTTGGAGTGCGTGTGCGTCCGACCCAAAATATATTCCATCGTGCTTACAAACACGGTCAATTGGAGAACACAGTGAAAAAAACAAAGGCATCACTAAGGCCATGACGAGCAAACAACTGAAACACGAGCATAACCGCGACTGCTTAAAGCGAGAACCAAAGGCTCCAAATAGGATCAGTCGCTCTTCTGACGGTACCGCCTTCTTGTTCACCTGGGTAATACAAGTATCAGACCAAAGCGCCTGGAGGCAGCGGGGGTAAAGGTTGCACTGGCTCAGCAGCCGGCGTCTGTTTCACTCGGTTTTGTTTCACCGCTTCCAAAGGACTCGCGTCTATCAGTCGGGTCTTTTCTCGGTTTAGAGCTTCCACGACCAAAGGTAACCTCTCTACCTACTCAACGTTACGCTTCTGACGTTTAGCATTCTTGCGCGTACTGATGACCAATCGTTCGGCTAAAGTGCTGTTAAACGGTTCTACGATCCCTTGCGACTGGTAGACACCCGGCTCACCCACGAGCACAATGATGCCCTTTCTTTTATTAGCGTTTTAAACTCTCCCTTAAACTCGGATCCAGCGTCTACTTGTACTTTACAGAGTTTAAACTCTGCCAACATTTTTCTGTGTGACATTCTCTACACCTTTTTACTTCCATGAATAAGTATAGTATAGTGTCTCTTTGTATTTTTTGTACTAATGTTTTCCAACTGATACGGTCGCTGGGCCCAGTCTTGACCCCGTTTCGTGTTTCAGTGTGGCCCGGGTCTTTGGTGAGGCCCCGGGCCTGGCTGGGCGCCAGCTCAGCGATGACGGAGTTTCATAGACATGGTCCATTACCGGCATATCCCTACTACTAAGGTCTGACACTGGTGAACAAGTGAAGCAATTTTACCAAAGGTAATCGTGTGATTTTCCTCTTTTAAATTATTTGGAACTGGTCTCGGTTATCTCTTATTGCGACAGAGAAAAAATCACTAAAATCCATGATTCAACTTACACCTCCCCGGTAAGAACCATTTCCTCAACACAATTTAGTTTGATTCCGTTTTATGTCTCCAAGGCATTATGGGGATGCTCCTTGACATCGGTTCGTTGGTATCAATCGTTGCTGTGGGAACTCTCGTGCCGTATGCGCTAGTAGCCGCCTGTGTGCTGACATTAAGGTGCTTTTCCAGTATAATTTTTTACTACTTGTTATGTTAAGTGATGACTGCCGATATGTCCATTTTCATTTGATAACCTGTATTATGAATTCAATGCCCCAGTATGAATAAATTTGTTACCCCTTTTTGTGAGTAATTTCAGCACCCCGTCTTGCAATTTATATTTAGAGTTCCACATGTTTTACACAGATACGAACCGGACTTTTCATCCATAGCTGCAGCAACACATCTGTATCCTACAGTAGGGGAGGGAGAACGCGCGACATTTGTGGATTCACTTTTGGCTATACTTAAGCAAGCCATGTGGCCACGGTATGCTGAGGCTACCCTACTCTCATCAAGGGTGGTGACTATTGCAGTGTTCCTGTTAAGTAAGTATTTCACAAACAAGATTAATGCCCGGGACTTATTAAGAATTCACGAGTGTAGCTATGATTACATTGACCGGAAAAAAAGAATGACTAAGTTGCTCTAAATACCATTCCAGATAAATTGACAGCCCGTCTAATAGAAATTGAAAGAACATTACACTTTAAAAAAGTAAGTAATTTTTGGAAAATTATTTCTGTAAGACATGTAATTCTGGCATTGGAATTTTCATTGTAACTGTAATTTGGTGAAGATCATTACTGTTTAATACGGGCGATTCACAATAGTGCGCCTCCAAGAGTTTGAAACGCGTTGGCCAATCACGATGCGCGAACTCTGTCGGCCCAATGCGCGTCAACATATTTCGTGCGTTCTGATTGGCCAACGCGTTTCAAACTCTTGGAGGCGCACTGTTGTGATTCTCCCGTATTTGAAATCGACGGTCGCAAACGGCGCCCCTGTACGAAAAATGTGTGCGTTCGATTACTTCCTACACTCTCATTGTAATATGGTGTACCGAAGGTGGGTGTTGGGGTTTTCAAACACTCCCCGTTAACCGGAAAAGGTAAAAAAAAAAAAAGCCAAAGGAGGGGAGGGTTGAAAGAACAAAGCGCATATTAGGAAGTGATTTTGAAGTGAGTTTTTCTTATAAAATATTCCTTTTGTTTTCAACAATTTCGGCCACGCAGTAAAGTTAAAGTTTTGCTTCTGGAATCTTAGCGCTTTTCCCAAGAAGGCCATAATGTTTCTTTTCGTCACACGGTAGGCTGCTTTACACCAATTATAACACGCATCGCTTTGATTGCGGAAGTTAAAAAAAACCAGAAAAAGAAATAATGGGAAACGGCTTGCGCAACCTCTGTTATATTCTAATGCACACAAACGTATCAAAATGCTACATTGACGTTGTCGTAGTTTGTCTTAGTTTATTAGCCTGTCAGCGTTGCATAAACGTCTTTTAATACTTCCATGCAACGTAAAAGAATAATGTCAACATTTAGCATGCAGTCAATGCGGACAATTTGCAGCAACAAAAGTAACGCTTTTATTATTTCACTGCAGCAGCTAGATTTACGTGTCATTAACATTTATTACTACGTAACGTTGCGGTAACCCCCATTTTTCTTTTAGCTGCCAGTAGATGTGAACACAATCGTTCTTCGGTTATTTCAAAGAAACTGTCACATGAATGTGAGCCGATTTGCCCATATTGCCCATATATAGTATCCACAGTTGGCAAACCACACAAAAGCAGTGTTTTCCGTCGTATTGAAAACCAGAATTTGAAAAATGTTGCTTAGACCAGCAACAATCATTTGGGATCAACATGCAAATTGATGTTAAAATTCTGAGTACTCAAAGAACATACTGTAACGTCGCCGTTTGTTTGTGGGTTTCGCACACGTCTGAAAAAGGTCACAAACGCTTGTAATCTTGTCCAGTTTCTTCCGGCCTTTATTATTCCTCAAAAGCGTTCAAACACGCACGGAAATTTTATGCAAAGTACAAGCAAAACTGAATCTCCTCTTGCATTCGCACTGGAACGTAACACACCGAAAACTGCCCAAAGTCAACCGGCAGAGACTGGCACAGCCCCATGGAACCACACCAGCGCCCCCACCAGCCTGTCGGCCATCACTACACTGCCCTCCCCTAGGACTCTTGTTCGGGTCCCCGAACAAGGCAGAGAGTGACAACACCGAAAACTCCTCTCGCCCCGCCTCAGCGACCCGGCACCTCCAAAACTAAAAGTATGAAGAACAAAAACACATAGTTAATCAAAAATATTAAACCTCATTAAATAAAAGCAGAGATGCTAGACCAAAAAATCAACGTAAACTGTTACTGTTGTAAAGATATGGTTCGATCAATTGACGTGGTAGATGCCGTTGATTGTTTTCATTGTTTAAATTCTAATTGTATCTTTGAATGCATCGATTGCAAAGAATGTCACGACTACGACAAATGTACCGAGTGTGCCAAATGTACCCAATGTTCAACTTGTACAAATTGCGTTTTTTGTTTTGATTGTTTTGATTGTGGACATTGTAATGCCATGGATAGTTGTAAATCTTGTTTAAATTCCAGCAATTGCATAGAATGTGACAGCTGTACCGATTGTATTTGCTGCGTTAATTGTAGTGGATAAGATGCGATGGACCATGTTGTGTTTGTAGATGGTCGTTACAAAATAATTAGTCACCAACGAGAAGACGATTTACCGCCTAATTCTGAATCTAAGCTGGATGCCAATTTATATGATGTTGGCTTAATAATTGAATATGACGTGTAGAAAGTTTAAATAAAGTAAAGCGCCAATATGAAAATTTAATAGACGTGGCAAATTAAGCCGAAAAAAAATTCCACATCTGATATAAAATCAGAACCATGTCAAACCAAACTTATATCGTAACTGACGACTACGAAAGTCTCAATGC